AAAAAAAAAAAAAAAGAAGATTATACTATATAACAAACAACAGAAATCAAAGTATTTTTTAATCGCTATACATTTGTTCTGTCACTGCTTTCTAACACTTTTTGGCTGCTTCTAAAACACATTTTTTTTGCAACTGCATTACCCATGCTAAAAAATTTTTGATCGCATTTAAGGTCTTTTCTAATTTTGCTGCCTTTAGTATATGCAAAATATTCTATTTCCCCAAGTTTGGTGGCGCTTTGTTGAGCTTCATTGAACCATTCTGCTAAGTATTTGAATTCTTTTAAAACTGAAACTGAGCATCTGTGTAATCTATATTTCTCACTGATACGTTTTTCGTTGCATTCAATATTGAGAGTTGCCTCTGAGTTCGCAACAGTGGTGACGATAAACGGTCTATCTGCGATTACTGGCAACTACTTTTGCCATCTTGTCTTGCTGTAAGCGTATTCCTGTAGCCGGTATTTGCACTACTTTTGAGTTGAGGCCATAGAGGCACAGGTTTTTGGTTCCATCAGTTAATTTCGTTCTTCTATCTTTTATTGGTCACATCTTAAATATTCCACTTTTAAACGCTCATATTCATGTTAATTTGATGTATAATTTCCTCAGTTTGGCTGAAGAGGAAATCTAGTTTGTTGCATATCTGTCTATACTACTATAGAGTTTAAGGTACTACAAAATTATTGACTTTGGCAGCATCTTGTTTTCATTTAAATTCTATTTTATTTTTTTTTGCTTCTCTACATGACGTTCCTGCCTAAAAGTTGGCGTATAACTTTTTCTTGTGGTAAGCAGGCAAATATTTCAATTGATAATAACTACAATTGTTTGACGTTTGATCTAAATTTATTCTTTTAATAGTGGTTTAATTTAACTCAGTAGTGAGTGAGTTGATAACATTTATTCTTCCACGATTTATTTTGTCATAAAAAGTTACCCATCTGTAAAGAAAGAAACTGTTGTTTTGTTAGCCAACTACGCTTCAACGTTTTGTTTCCATTGGCCAGATTTTCTAGTATTTTAGCTGCTTCGACATCCATTGAAAAAGTATCCAGATTTGAAGTTGAAGGGGATTAAGTATCGCGTGATATGTTAACGACAAATTTTATTTTTGTAAGCATATGAGATTATACTCACCGAGAGTACATTCAATAAGTTCACTTTTAATACACTTATTTATAACTGTAAAAAATTTAATTTTAGATTAGCTAAAGATTAAAGGTTATTTTAAAGGTAGATTCTGAGGACCCGAAGGTCAACTGACATCCAAGTTCTTGCGTTCCGATCAACCGAGTCACTGGCACGGATTTTGGTAGTTGGCTCTTCTTTAAATTCTCTTCATCCCAATTTTTTTCCTTTTTCCTTAGTCTCTTCACTTTTCGTTTGTTTTTTTTCACATTTTCAAACTGGTTTTTTGTCTCTTTTTTCTATATATTTTCAGCGTACTATTACTTTTTATTAAATCTCATACTTTATCTAGTCATATATATGTTTTTCATTAAATTTCCTTAATAATTCTCTTTTTAAGAAACCTTCATTTAAAATATGCAGTTACATTCTTTCTTTAAAATCTTTTTTGAATACAACTTGTCCACCGTTGTTTCCAAATATTTTTTGAACATTGCTTTGATGATATATAATTGTAGCTCTGAATAGTTCAGTAAATATTACTGTTATATGTAAGTTATTTGATATATCGGTGAGGCTTTATACGGATGTATATTCCTCAACTTTGAAGTTAGTTCACTAGCTGTATATTTCATAATTCAAGTGGTAATCGTTTTCGTTTGTGCTAATCCTTTGGGCCAAGGTCTCAAGAACTGGTTCCATCAGCTTGTGAAGTTATGCTTATATCTGACATCTATTAAGTTATTGTAGGATTTCTCTGCACATTGTTTCTCAAAATTTTTTTATGATTGCTAAAGTATCATCAACATATCTGAAAATGATAATGTCTTTTGGTGTGACTTTTATTTCTGTATTCTAGAGCACTGTCAAAGTTATGTTGGCTAAGTCTGGACTACAGTTGTATCCTCTTTCGTACAATTTTTAATTATTTAAAAAATCTGTTAGGAAAAGGTAATAGTAGGTAATAATTTCAGTATCAAGAAATTTCTTAAAATAAGAAATTTTTTTGAAATAAGAAAACTGAATTTTCTGTAGCATGACATGTTGCATAACGTTTGAAAGACAATTTTAAACAAACTGTCAAAAACTTTCAGGCATATATAGGGGAGTTAATTTTTAATTTGGCGTGAAACTTTTCGGGAGCAAAATATTCTTTCTTGTGGAAAAAATTCCAGCGGTTTTCACGAAAGGCCACTTTGTCATGTGGAGGTACTTGGAGGTTCTTCGTGCCACCTGCTTGAGCTATGGTAAACTTCTAAGTCACCTATGTTCATCGCTTATTACCTACTGTACATTGTCTGTCAGTGTTTTACCTCTTTGTGTTTATACAGTCTCTTGCTAGATGAGAAAACTTTAAAATATTACTTAAAAAGTAGCGAATACTGAACTAAAATAAGAAGGAATGACGAAGAAAAAAGTGTAAAACATATTGTGTCTAATTTTTTAAACTTTACTATTTATTTCTCCTATAATTTCATAGGCCTCTATTTCAACTAACTTGTCGTTCACAACCGATTTTTCATACGTCTCAAGCTACCTTAAACATCGATTACAGTAGTCAAAACAACTAAACAACTAAAAGTCTGAAAACTCCGTCTTGTTTTTCGAAGTAATCAAACCTGAAGCATTTCAGAAAAACCAATGTGTAGTCGAGAAGATGAGCAGCAAATTGCTTCAAACGGCTGGGGAAATATAGCAGGAAGTTAAATGTGAAAATTGTTATAGTGCTCTATCTAAGTCTGTTCTTTGGAAAGAACGTGGTGGAGAAAACACTCAGTTTTTGATTTGACACGGTAGTCGTGACCTGCTATTTCGCCTTTGCTCCTCATATATATCAAAGGTTAAACAATTTTTCCCAACACTTTTCTTGACCTCTTATTCTGTTCCTTTACGCAACTGTAAGACTGGAGAAAGTACCAGGGCTGTAAATTATCGCAGATTACTAGGATTAGTTCGTATTTTGGAACGTTTGAAATCTCTGACAAATTATTTAGTAGGCTAAAGTAAGTTTCATTGAGCCTGGACTTCTTTCGTTCAGCTTAATTTAATGCTGGGATTTAAAAACGTCGTCATGATTCTTCGATTTATCATAACACATTCTAGCTTGGTAGTATTTCCAGTCTAAATGTTAGAATACTCAACTGGCCATTACTCTTATCTATATAAAATAAGTCTGAAGTGGTAACGTCAGCGAAATAGGAGGATTTTTATGCAGTGTTTTCGCCTTTCATATTTGTTTCATAAATGTCAAAATTTTCTGCCACAAATGAGATTTTTTTTTCCGTCTGCTGCCCATAAATCGGACAGCGCATATTGACGATTTATATCGTTTTATACGGACTGCATCCTTTTCAACTCGACAACAATCAACTTTTTTAAATAGTTTTTTCAGTGATTATGGAGACTTTAAAAAGTTCTTAGCGAATCCGCTTGCCTGACTTTCGAACAATTTCAAAAGACTGGATATTTTTGCATGTTTTCCCCAAAGCTTATTTTAAGCTCAAGCAATGGCTACAGTGAAACCTCCTGTCAGTTAGCAGTGTTGTGTCTGAATCTTTGGTGGTGTCCGACGCAGTAACGAGCAGAAAAAAGTAGGCAGTGTCCCTCCCACCCTAAGATGTTTCATACGTAGGAATGCACTACGATCAATGAACAACAGATCAATTCAAATTTTTACAAAAAAGTATTTCTTAAAGAGCGAGAAATTGACGGAACGTTGGTTCACCCTACTTGACTTGCTGAATTATGGGAAAGGCCACAATTAAGTTACCACATCAACCAGTAATAATCTGTCCTGTAGACTCATATATTTTGTCACTTTTTATCCTATTTGGAGGGTCCATCTA